ATTTAAAACTTCCAAATAGGACATGATTTGACTTGCTGGAAGAATAATTTTCTCTTCGCAACTTTTCCTCTGAATTCCGAGAAATGTTTTCCGGAAAACATTCGGATAAATTACTGAAAACTTTATTTATGGCTCTCTTTTCAATTCTGTCCCAGTCAAGCAAACCTTAATTCCAGGCCATAAACGCCATATCCAGACTATGCGGCATTCAAAATAATGTTTACTGGAAAGAAAATAGCAATAAAATGTATTCCTTTGGAAAAGCTTTTGGCAAGTCGAGGGTTACCAGATTTTCTGATCACTGAAAAGTAGTGATACTTAATCTTTGGCGTTGTACTCAAAACTACGCCAATATCTATCGTATCAAATAGATTTTGAAGACTATGCAGCGCAATTATAAAAAAAGAAAGAAACTAACTTTATAAATGTTGTAAAATACAAAAGTAATTCATTCTCTTGCATTAAGGTTATTATATATATGAAATTTTAATAAAATAGAGACAATGTCAAGTACGAAAATTTTTTTGCAACCTTGAATGCTGGTAATAATGTTTAATTATTCTTATACCATTAAATTGTGAAAATTTTTCATGAATTATTTATTTTCTAATTCTAATTATGCTAAAATGAATATCTATAAAATTGCATATGTTTTTGGGAAATGTAAAATACACTTGCATGCGATTTACTCTTCTAAACACAACAAAATACCACAACAGTATTTGGTTCTACTGCAGCAGAAATATTCAAGTACAATGCGCAAAAATATAAATACCCTAAAAACCCTTTATTCCAATGATCGGACTTTCACGTAGTAAGGTTAAATCAAAACTATCGCTAAAGGCTAAATCAAAACTGTTATTATTTTGACTATCATTAAAAACAAATAATTATTAAACTATTTTTTAGTTAAATTACTTTCACATAAAAGAATTTATACCTTTGAGCTAAAAAGTTACGATTCAATTAAAAAAAAATTTCGAGGCATAGCGAAGTTCGCAGAAGTCAAAATTAACGTCGAGGAGCACAAACTTTTGACCACTTCTGCCTAAACTGTATTTGGTCCATATTTTTCATATAGCAACTATCAATAGCATGGTTGGTAGGGGACTGGGGCCACGTCAAAGAGGTTGTGGGTTTGATCTCCGCCGGACAAAAACTCCCCGTGTAGTAAATGGTGACTGGTGCACGTTAAATCTGTCGGTCACAAAGTCCTCCATGCTCTCATAACAAATCAATATCTCTGGGGGTACTGATCCAGGAGCTCCCTTGTCTTCTGGATTGAGATCAAAATTACAAGGAAACGGAGTTGTACATTGGTAGTTGTAACAGAACTGGGTCGGCTGTTCAGCGACAGTTATATATAAAAAAGAAAAAATACAGCTAGTATCAGAGACGTGGTAGCCCAGGGAATAAAATGCTCGTCTTCCAATGAGTTGAATTGGGTTGAAATCCCAGCAATGACTGGTTGATTCGAATTCTGTACCCGGCCTGCACTGACCACAGCGCTGACCTGAAATATCCACAGTGGTAGACGGATCATGGGTTAGAGTCCACGTGCCGTCAGGCTAACCGTGTGATGTGCTCGTGATTTTCCTCTCCATAAAACGCAAATGCGAGTAAGTTTCATCAAAAAGACCTCCACGAAGGTAAATTTCTCCCAATACTTGATCCAGGAGTTCCCCGTCTTCTGAATTGGGTTCAAAATTGCATGGCTTCGGAGTTAAACATTAGTTGTCGTATACCCAAAATTGGGTTGGCTGTTCAACGGCAGTTATAAATAAATATAGCCAGTATCAAAGTCGTGATTGCTCAGGGAAAGGAACGCTTGCCATCCAATGAGGAGAACTGGGTTCAAATCAAAACGATGACTGGTCGATTAGAATTCAGCATGCGGCTCACCTTGACCACAGTGTTGACGTAAAATAATCTCATTGGTATCATGGGTTAGAGTCCCTTTGCCGTCAGGCTTACAATTTGAAGTTCTTGTGGTTTTCCTCTCTATGTAAAGGAAATGTGGGTTAGTTCCAGCAACAAAATCCTCCACGAAAGCAAATACTTCTCCCAACACTTAATCCAGGAGTTCCCTTGCCTTTTGATTGGATTCAAAATTACGAGGCTTTGGAGTTAAACAAAAGTAGTCGTAAACCCAAAATATTGGATCGGCTTCTCAACGATGGTTAAAAAATATATATCCAGTATCCCCCATATTTTGAAATCCCAGAAAAAATTTCCTTTTAAAAAAATTTATTTTTATTCAAAGAAAATGTGTCTTTATGTCTGATTTCGTAACTTAAAAACCGTTTGTACTAATTAATAAACATATATTGAAGCAGAAATAAGTAAAAAAAAAGCATCGTATTGTAACAATAAGAGCAAATGTTGAAACTAACAATGGTACGATTAATGCATTAAAATTATGATAGAAGCAATACTTTGCAACAAAGAATGATAAAAGCAAAGCATTGAAATATTGAAATCATCGAAAGCAATGAAAGCAATAACAGAGCAATGCATCGAAATAACGTTAAGAACAATTCATTGAAACAATGCTTTGAAACAATGCATTAAAACAATGTTAAAAATAATGCATTGAAATAATGTTAAGAACAATATATTAAAACAAATACGAGAAACGTTTTGTAGTAAACGATGAAAATATTAACGTAATGAAATTAAAAGAACAAGACCTTAAGACAATAATTTGAACAATGTTTTGTAGCAAACAATAAACAGAATAAAGCATTGAAACAGATAATAAGAATACGGCATTGACACAAACAAGAAGAATATATAGAAAAAAACGATATAATACCATACCATGTACAGTGCGCAAAGAAACAAATTGACCACTCTGAATAACTTTTGATCTAATGATTGAATCTTCGCGTTTTAGGATTCAATCTTAATGGTTCGAAATAGTGACTTCAAGTATTCTAACTAATTAGAGGAGACGATATTTTAAGTTACGAAATCAGACACAAAAACGTCATTTCTCTGAATAAACATATCTTTATTCCAACGAATTTGGATTTACGACATTTAAAAGATGGTAATTTTACATGACAAAGCACAAAATTTTAGAAATTTCGGTTGAATATTTCTTGAAAAGTCAAATAATAAATATACGGTTTTTTAAAATTCTTTTTTTATGAACTATTCGACCGACTTCTCTTAAATTTGTATTTTGCCATTGCAAAATTACCTTCCTTAAAATGATGTAAAAAAATAGTATACCTTACAATTCAATATATTTGAGACAATTACTAAATATAATAAATTAAAAAAAATAATTACTATCATTTATAGGATCTTTGGATAAACAAAATTTATAATTGCGTGAAAAAAATTTAAATTCCTTTAAAAATTCTTCGAGATAGGGTGAAATACGCAAAAAGTAAAAATAACATTAAGGGGTCAATCTTTTGGATCACTTTCCTGACCAAACTATGTGGAATATATTTCTCAGATTGCGGCGACCCCCTATAATTTGAGGATCAGAAATCCCAATCAGTTAAAAAAAATTGTTGTTATTCAATAAAAGTACGATTCTGTGTCTGATTTTGTAACTTAAAATATCGCTTGTCATATTCATTTCGAATATTTGAAGTCTCCCTTTCGAGCCATTAAAATTAAGTCCTAAAACGTGAAAATCCGTACTATACATTAATTGTATTCGGCTAAGCGATAGAAATAATTCGCGAAAGGGAAAATTTGAAAAATTAATTCTAAGTTCAAATCATATATTCCAAGTCTAAGTTAAATATTCTTACTCAATGTCTGATTCGCGCGCAGGTCGTCGGGCTACCGAAGTGGGGGTACCATCCGCTCCGCAAAGGGTCAAAATTGTGATGGCATGTCTTCGGATCATTCTCAGGGATGTTTCCCAGACCGTCGCCAATAGCCCATTGTGCAGCTCTAGTGCGACGTAAATTAACAACAACTCTTTGTCTGACGATAAGAGAAATCAAATTCTAATATTAAGTGTTTTAGTGTGACCGGTAAATTTGAAAAGGAATAATCCCCTGAAATATAAACACTAATCATTTATCAGTACTATTATTACTGTTACTATTATTAGTACTGATCTTCACCCTTCGTGTCTAGCCTGATAATTCTCATGAACTCGACGCATTCTCACTGCAGAGTCTGTGATTTTTGCATTGTTTTATTTGGAAAATAAAAAAAATCTCCTCAAGGGCGGTAGTAGTTACTAAATCTCTCAGTTATTGAGTATGTTGATAATTTAAATAATTAAAAAGTTAGCTATTTTTTTCCCAAGGAATGGAGACAAAAATGTATACAAATATTAAAATTATTTAAATTAATACTTCTAAAACTACAGAGAAAAATTTGCTAAAAAGTTCAAATTCTAATAACACAATAAAGCACATAACTACAATTGTTTGAGAAAATTTATTTAACGTTTCAAAACTGAAACAAATTTAACACTTCAATGAACGATATATGCAAATCCAAAACCAATGTTTCCAAATTCCAGTGCTTCCGCCATAATATTTCATTTACCCATTAAAAGTTTTTAGCAATAAACGTATTTGTTTTGGAAAAAAACAGCTTATTTTAAAGGTATGTGCTAGTCTTCAATTACTATTCAATATTTTTTTACTATATAGTGTATTGTGATAAAATAAAACAGTTTACATCACATCAAGACATTTTTTTAAGAAGTAACCAATCCAACATATTTAAATATGACACAAAAGTGTTGCCAAACCTACATAAAGGAAAACTTGCATATATATAGCAAAAAATAAATACAAAAAGGACAAAGAGAAAGGAAACGAAGAAAATTAAGAAAAACTATGTGTAAAGAAAACCTCATTTTCTCTACATTTTGAACTTATATATATATAATATATATATTTATTTAGATATATTATATATACATATTAATATGCATACTAATATATATATTTGTATATATTAATCACTGTATATATAACTTTATAAAACTAATTCTTCAAAAATGGAAAATTTACCATCATTTGTTGTTTTTCTTTACATGCAGTGTAGATACATCTGTTTTTCTTCATTCTTCAAGATATCACAGGATATATTCAAGAATAGAGCATGATTAGAGTTGAAGTGTTTTGTTGAATTGTTCTTCTGCTTGAAAAGTTATCTGTGGGGAGAAATAAATTCATAAAAATAAACTCTCAACTCTAAATTTTTTTTCAAGCATTCTGTTGTATTGAAGAAAAAAAATCTATCTGTTTTACATAAGAAATCATCTGAACTCCTTTTTCGGAATCTTCTCTCCCCACCAAAAAAAAATTATTTTTTTTTGTGTTTGTCTTTCTTTCTATTTCTGAAAATTCAAGGGAAATTTTATTCTGCTGTTGAATTTCTTTCAAGGAAAATGGCAGATATTTTCTATAAAATTTCCATACATGTCAAAGGAAAGGAAGATTTTAACAAAAAAGTAGTTTTCAAAGTAAATAAAATGGATTTTTTTTCCATACTCTATTATATTGTGTATGACCATTTTATAAAAATACGATTTTTTTAAAGTTCTGTTTATATCAATACAATGTATTTATGATGTATGCACTTATTTTAGGTTTTTTGTTAAACGCAGAATAAAATATGAAGTTCAATACAAGAGGTACAACATTAAATGCTTTTCGAAAAATCTTATTTTACCTTATTTCATATTCTGAAATGTCAAATAATACTTATTTTTTATAATTCCAAAACTGAACATTTGAAAGCGCTAAAGTGACCAATACATCAATAAAGAGTTGCTTTATATATTGCACAATGCTTAATGAGCATTGTAAATATTGCATATGATGGTACCGAAATACTTGTAATAGTAGATTCATAATGTATAATGCGAAATTAAATTAACACTTCATAGATGAGAGAAGACCTTCGCACGGGGTACTATAAACGAAAATTCCCATCCTTATTAGTCCGACTGCTGTGATATTTTTCTTAATTCTTTCCCACTGCGCAGTTTTTGCTCGTTCCTTTGAACTGCTAAAGTAATCATTTCAAAGGCATTCTCTTTCCTAGGAGGTCTTGATTGAATTCATTATGGTCTGTAGAGTTTATTTATAGTGAACAATAATGACGTCGCTAAAATACAACAAGGCAAATTCACCAAATATATATGTATTTATATATTTATAATATGTATTTCAACAAATATATTTATAATTATAAATAAAATTTAACATTTCAGTCGAATTTTTATAAGAATTTTTACTAGTTAATTTCTTTAAGAACTAAATAATTACTAATGTGCATGCCTGAAAATTTTTTTATCGTCCAATTAAAAAGGAAAAAAATTCATTATCAACTGCAAATAGAAGAATTTTTTTTGTATAAAATTCAACACTGAAAAAATTCTTAACCTACAGCAGACCTTCGCAAAACTGTCGATTCAAAAAATTCTTCGCAGATTGAAACTTCAGTAAACCCTTCCATTTACGCCTTTGGTTGCCACTAAAAAATCTAGAATTTCAGCATCTCATGAAAGAAATACGAAACCAGCACCAATCTCTGAGTCTACGGAAATTCGACACGGCCCACAAAATTCCGATCATAAAAAAACGAAGAAAAGTTTTCCGAGTTTGGATATTTCAAAGAAGCGTGAAATCTATCAATATAAGTGGATTTCTGTCCGGTGGTAAACTTTTATATTTATTTATGCGAAGGCGCTACTCTTTTACATTCCTTTCCTCCAATACTATGATTGGTAAAAAAAAACTTTACGAACGCAGCTTAAAATAAAAGTTGTAAAATTTATAAGGCTTAAGCCATTTTCAAGATAACTTTCTCCCATGCGGATAGTGTAAAACACTTTCACATTCTTTGAAAGCATAATACTCAATAGAATATACCATTCTTCTATAGAACTTTACTATACTCTTATTCTATGTAAATAGTCTGTACAAATATTACTATTTATGATGAAGTACTTTACACAGAAACACAAAGTACGTTTGTATGGTTGTATTCAATGAAATGTGCAATTCCTCCATAGTATTCTCTGATATTCTTATACTAAATAAGTATTCTAAAAATTTCAAATTTCATAAATCACTTTTTCCATTTCATAGAAATACGGAATATTTCTATGATTTTACTTATATCAATACTCAATAGAATATACCATTCTAGTTAGCATTCTTCTCTACTCTTATTCTGTATAAATATTTTCGAAAAATTTAATTTTCTTAACGAAGCATTTTTTATATTTTATAGAAACATGTAGTAAATCGGTAGTGTTAATTTGAATTTTAATAATATTTAATGGAAAATATATTTTTCTATAGCGTTTTCTATAACATTTTCTATTTTCTGATATTCCTATTTGAAACAATTCTAAAAAATTTACTATTTATAACAAAGCACTTTTTCCATTTCAGAGAATGATTGAATATTTCTATGTTTTTACTGATATCAATACTCAATAGAATTAATCATTAGTGTTCTCCTATACTCTTATTCTAAATAAATATCTAGCAAAAAAATATTTTTTATGAAGCAATTTTTATGCTTCATAGAAAAAAGGAGTATTTCCTTCGGTAGTGTTTATTTAAATGTTAACAATTTTCAAAAAAATATACTTTTTTTCATAACATAGCCTTATACTTATCTTTTCTAAATAATTCTCAAAAACGTACTATTTATGATACAGAATTATCTTCCATTTCATAGAAAGATGAAGTACTGCAATTTTTTCACGTAAACCAATAATAATTGGATATACCATTCTTCCATACTCTCTTTCTGTATAAATAAATGTTTTGGGAAAAAAATGCTTTCAATAAATGAACTTTTCAAATTTTATAGCAGCACGGAAGTTTATTTGGTATTTTTTATTTGAAATTTAATAATAATCATCAGAATACACCATTCTTACTTAGCATTCGATGTCTGGTGACTGAGTGAAAATCAAAATGGTAACAGATCGAGTACAAATTGTCCAAGCTCGTTCTTCAGAAACATCCAAGCAACGGGAAAGAAATCTAGTAACCGATCTACATGGTAGACACTTTCAAAAAAAATTTTTAAATACTTTAAAAAAAAGCCATCCAAGTAAAAAAATGTCTCAACTAATAACTGTCGAACAGAAATATTTGTAAATTAAATATTTGTGCCAACTGAATACAACTAGCTACTGAATTGCAAATGAATACAACTAGCTACTGAATTGCAAATGAATACAACTGGCTACCACTAGCTAACAACTAGTAACTATATACAATTAGACATCTGAATTACTGAAAATTATGTAAAAATGAAAGCCTATTCTATTTACGATTAACTCATAAAGCAGTCGTTATAATTTTTTATATTTTTTCAGACTGATGCCGCCCTAATTTAATACTCTATTTAAACTCATTTGTCTAAAACATCTGAGCCATGGGATGCAAGAATAGAAATTAATGGATAATAATTAGAATAAAACACTTTTGTTTGAATCCTTTTTGTTTGCTATTCTGTTTTATTTTGATTGTTGAATAATATTTCTCTTAAAAAAAAGATGTCAAACTAAATATGTGTGCAGATTATGGATAGGAGCAGTTAACTAATAGACTTGTTTTAAAACATAGTTTAAACCATTTTTTTAAGTATTTCTGTCACGTAAATATTTAATTACGCTTCACTATCTGTTGAATTTTAATTTAACGTATTTTCTTCGTAAATAATTTTTCACATCTACATTTAGTCCCATGAGCGCAACTATAATCCATTTTGAAATAAATAAGAAACAATTTTAAACATTTCTCAAAAATACTAAAGTACTCACTCTTAACTTATTTTGCTTTTTTTTCGATAGATCAATTTATTTTAGCTTATTTCCTGTTTACGGTTTATAAATATATGTTAAAATTTAAATACTTAAAAAAGTGCAAATAAAAACCTTCTGAGTTTAATCCACTACTGAGCTTATTACTTTATATAAAAGTCAAAAGCGACAAACATTTTTAAGAAAATTTCAAAACTTAAATATACATTTTACAAAATTATCACCTTCAGGGTATTCTAGTAAACTTATTTGCTTCGCAATTTTTGAAAAGAGACAAAACGTTTCGTCTCTTTTCACTAAAATGTTGTTGCAGTTTTCTTACTTTTTATTCGACGATGTTTATGTAACTAAATAAGCTGAGACGGGAAAGATACTCAAATAAGAATATACAAATAGTATTTCTTTTCGGCATAACTTTCTAGAAGCTATTGTGAAAGATGATAAATGTAAATTGCATTTCTTTCACTTTCTGACAGTTTTTAAATTCTATTTATATTTTCGACGTATAGAAGGTTTCGTAATCATCGACAGTATTTTGAATACTTTATAAAATTTGTAGAAGCAGTATTCATAAAATGGTTTAACTCACGCAAGAATTTTCATAATTTTTTTTGTTATTTCTGAAACAAAGTTTTATATTTTTAAAAACATAAAACATTATTTATAAATATTAAAAAATAGCTGATATTTCCATTAGAAAATAATATTATAGTTTGCTTGCAGTAGGAAATAATTCCTTCTTTTTATTCTACCTATTTGTGTAACGTTTTAACTCACGTTAGAAGTTTCACATTGTTATTTATTTTGTTACTTCTGAAACGAAATTTTATGTTTCTAAAAACACGAAACATTATATATCAATATTAAAAAAATAGCTGACAATCTCATTAGAAAGTAATATTATAGTCTGCAGTAGGAATTGGTTCTTTAGTTTTATTCCACGTTCTCATAAAAAAATTTAACTCACTTTAGAAGTTACACAATGTTTATTCATTTTATTATCTCTCAATCAAAGTTAAATTTTATTTTTATAACAACGCCAAACATCATTCGATAGCATCAAATAATAACTTTTATTCTACCTAAATACAAATAATGCTTGTTTTCATTGCAAACTAATTGTTTATTGAATAAAAGAAAAATTAATTATTTTAAGTACCTAGGAGAATATGTATACATTTTCTTTTAAAATGAAATGCTAATTTTTAAGAGACAGAAGAAGACGTTTTGTTTAACATTAAGAAAAAGAAAAGCTTATGAAAGTTTTTTCTCTCCATTTCGTTTTTATGAGAATTAAGCAAATTTTTAGGTTTAAATATCTTATAAATACCCCTAAAAATAATATTCGTAATGAATGA